CATCAGGCTTTCTGGCTCCAGGAAATCCGTTGCTACTGTGTCTTCTTTGGGGGTTGATATCTTGCTTTGGGCTGGTGGGACAAGTGAAGTACTCTGCTTTCTACGGGCCATTGGTGTGGCCGAGTTCTTCGTGTCTGAGGCGGTAGCTGGTTTTTGATTTGACATCACTGCTACAGAAGAAGATTGGGCAGAAACAAGAGTAAATGCGTAGAGGTGCATGCACACTCCAGTGGTCATGTGAGTGGGGAGGGAGGAAGCGCACACTGATACACGTGGGGAGGGCCTCAGGAGAACCTAAATAATGAAGGAGAAAGTCTGTTGTTCCCTTTCTGGAATAGCTTCCCTACTCTTTGGAGATGCTCAGGATCTCCCTGTTGTTTGAGTTAGTGGGCCCTACGTACTCAGGCCAGAAACCAGTTTGATTCCCCATGTAACTTAATCCTCAATGGTACATGAGTATTTTAAGGGAGGTTGATAAATCTTATAGATGTAGCAGATATGGGTGTGGGATGTCTGGGTCGCAAGCCCCGGCCTGGAACTGCCTTTGCTGTCCTTGCAGATCTCCCAGCAAAGTCCAAGTTTACAAAGATGGCGTTTCCCCACAGACCTCTGGGAACTATAGTCGGTACCTGCAGTGGTAGCAGACAGGAAGGCTGCAGTGGTAGCAGACGGGAAGGCTTCAGTGGTAGCAGACAGGAAGGATGTAGTGGTAGCAGACAGGAAGGCTGCAGTGGTAGCAGACAGGAAGGCTGGGTCGCAGATCTCCCAGCAAAGTGTTGGTGAATATCTTTATCTTCATCTTTGGCATTAGTGGTTGGTTGCTCTTGTTATGTGCCATCAAGTCGACTTCCTATGTACAATAACTCTGAACCTTGCCCTATCCTGAGCAAATCTCGTGTTTTGGACACACCTGCCCCCATTACTGCAGTCACTGTGTCAGTCCATTGCATCCACGGTCCTCTTCTTTTTCACTGACTCTCCACTCATCTAAGCATGAAGTCCTCCAAGGAGCTTTTGCCCTTCTGGCAGCATGCCTAAAGTATGTGAGATAGAGCTTCATTATCCTTGCTTCCAAGGAGCAACCTGGTTTTACCCTTTAACCAGTATGGACCTGTTTGTTCTCTTGGCGGTGATGGTATGTTCAGTAATTTTTTCCAGCACCACAGCTCAAAGCATCAATTATTATTCTGTCATCTTTAGTCATTGTCCAGCTCTCTGATGCATAGTAAGTAATTGCAGTAATATAGCCTGATGCAGTGACTGAGCACTACTTGTTGCTCCTGAAAATATGACCAAAGTAAGTGCGACAGTTTCCCCATCCTTGCTTCTAAGGAACATTCTGTTTGCATTTTCTCCCTTCAATAGATATTTGGGTTGGGTTTTTTTTTTTTTTTTTTTCAGTTCATGTTACGTTCAGTACTCTTTCCAATACCACATTTCAAAGGAATTGATTCTTATTCTGAATGTTTATTCATTGTCCAGTGGTTGGGGGGATAAATGTTAATAAGTCATGTTATGAAGTCTCTTTTAAAGTCGGTATTTTCCTATAATTGACAATATTGTACTTCTTGATGGTTCTTCAAATGTGTTTGTTTTTTTTTCTTTTGACAATGAATACAGTGCTATTACTCTTCATAGTAGACTATGTGATTGTCCAATTTAAAATGACTAGTACCAATCCATTTCAGCTCACTAATGCATAGGATATTGATCTTTATGTGTTTCATTTAATTTTTTATGACTTCCAATATTCCTAGATTCATACTGTGCATTCTGCATGCCAATTATTAATGAAGATTTGTGATTCTTCCTCCTTACTACTTAGAAAAAATTATATAGGAGGCTATGAAACTGTGTCCTATATTGATAACCAAGTATTTGGCCTGATATGTTGAGTACTTTGGGAACTTTCATTAAGGGACCAAATAAATCCATATAGTACACTGCTAATACTATTAAAAGAGCCTGATTGATATTATCTGCTATTAAATCTAGAGATTTGAATTGGTCACTAAATTATTTCTTTTTTTTAATACAACTATGTCTGTATCCTTAAAAATAATTACTGAGATATTTTTGTCCATTCTCATTCATAATCTTGGGAAAAATATTAGTCCAACTCTTATATTTTAGCATAGTTTATTGTAAGTGCAAGATGCTGAGAGCATTTTATAGCCTCACGCTCAGTTCCAAGGTAGCAAAGACTTTTCCCCACTCAGCTCTGCCCACCTGAGTATATTGTTCAAAATATGAATTTGACATTCTTTTTATTTGTAGCTGTGCTCTTTATATATATTATATTATTTGTAATAGTCAGCTATGCTAATAGTTAGACTTCATATGATGCTTGAGTGTTTAATTATTTGTATATATTGCTTGATCTTTATATAAAGAATCAATCACATGACTCTACTTTTCCTAAACTTGATTGTTTTCTCCAAAGGGTACTGTGGAACACTGTATAATAGGAGTAATGATCCTTTCTGAGTTGACGCAGGAAATGAACCTGGTAAGTGTGTTCCTCTAAAGTAACATAAAGTCTGTTTAAAGAAGAAAAAGAAAATTTTGTTTACAGAATGCTATATATGTGTTTTGGAAACAGGAGTGGTATTCATTTCCTAAACAACTTGCCTCTGGAAACTGTGAACTTTGATAAATGTCAGTAGTTGTAGAGGGGCTTCAGGCCTTTTGTTCATAGGGTCACTATGAACTTGAAGTCAATCAACAACATATATGTGTTAATTTATTTTTGACAAAAAGTACAGTTTTATTTATATGGCATCAAACTAAATGATCACGGTGTATTTTTTTTTTTTTCTCTTCTTGGTCTGTTTTGTTGGTGTTGGTGGTTGTTGTGTATTACCGAGCCAGAACGGACCCATAGCAAGCCCTCCAGTGGGTTCTCCGAGGCAGTTAGTCGCATGGGAAGAGATTACCAATTCTCACCCCTGTTGCACCTGGCGGATTTGAACCACATGCTTCTGGGATTACAGTACAGCTTCTTACAGCTAGGACATATTTGAATACTTTTATGAAGGTATCCACAACGAAGTATAATGAATGAGGCATTAGACATGCTTCTTGTTCCATGGACAATTGAGAATTGTTATTTTGTCCTTGGATAGAAGCATAATAATCATTAGAGGCAAACTCTGTGTGAAAGAGAAAGAAACATTTACTTGCTTACAAATAAAAGATAAGCAGTTTGGTGAATCATTTTTCAACAGTAGGGACACAGCTGGACTCATCACAGAACAGACCACTTGGCACTTTGCCAGTTGCTGATACGAATTTTCTTTTTGTTGAGGGAGAGGAGATTCTCAGACATTTTATGTCTGCTCAAGTCCTTTTGTGAGCTCAGCAGCTGAGAACATCATCACTTGTTCCTGTTCTTTTTTTGTACTTAACATATTTATAACCAAAGACAAGTAAAAGTTGATTCCATATAGAGTCATTTTTTTAAAAAGTAGAATTTAGAGTTTAAAGGTAAATATTTTCATCATCATAACTGTTATGTGTCTTGTGGAAGCTGTACTTGAGGGATATGTTTGCTTGTTTGTGCACATGTTTGTATATACAGTCAGTCCTCATTTATTGTTGTTGTTAGGTGCCATCAAGTATGACTTACAGCAACTTATGATTAAAAGATCTAAGCCCTGTTCTATTCTGTGCCATCCTCACACTTCCTGACACACAAGAACCCATTGCAGCAGTCACTGTGTCAACCCACCTGTTTGAGGGTCTTCCTCTCCTTCACGGACCCTCCCCTTCCAAGGATGCCCAATATGTGTGAGGTGAAGCCTTAACCTTATTGCCTCCCAAAAGCACTCCAGCTGTAGCCTTTCCAAGGCATAGCTGTTTCTTCTTTTGAGTGCCCATGGCACGTTCAGTGCTCTCCTGCCAATACCGCAGCTCAAAGGCATCAGTTATTTTTCATCCTTATTCTTTTGTTCCTAGAGTAACTCCGAGTCGTACTTTTTAGCACCTAATAACAACAACAAGCTTTAAATATGCCTGAAAGCCTATACTTTTAAAAATATTTTTTAATGGGAAATTTTTAACTTCATGAATGGTGAAATGATGCAATAGTATAATTACTCTGCATTTTACTTAGACTAACTATAGAGCATGTATAGTCTTAAGTAGCATTTATTAAGGGCTTGTGCTCCACACAGTACTGATATCTACATTGTTAAGTTTTTGTTAAGTACCATGCAGTCAGTTTTGACTCAAAGTGATCTTGTGTACAACAGAACATGCTACTGGCCTCCCTGCACCTTCCTCAGAGTCTGTGTTTTAGCCTCTTGTTGCAGTGACTGTGCAATTGCATCTCGTTGAGAGTCTTCCTTTTTTTGTTGAGTCTCCACTTTACCATAATAATGTCTTTTTTTAGAGTCTGGTCCCTCCTAGTAGCATGTCTAAAGTATATGAGATGACATTTTGCCATCCTCATTTCTTCCGTGCCAGATTTGTTTCTGATTCTGTCAGTCCATTATATGTTTCATATTCTTCACCAACATCTTAATTCAAAGGCATAAGGTCTTTGCATGAGGAAAATCAAATAGTTGTCAAATGTGTGCCAGAATAACAGAATGTAGTTTTAAGGCAAAGATCTAAAATTGGAGTTTCTTAAAATTAGACATAATTAAAGCCGCCTTTAAAAAAAATGTAGATCTTATGTCTGTGTACAGAATACAGGTGTAAGTATGCAGTAGACAAGGAATATGTATTCCAATTTCAAAAGTGAAATAAAACAGGAATATGTAAATGAGTCACCTAAGCAGGGGGCCCTGATGACATGGCTAGTAGACAGCTGCACTCTTAACCCAAATGTGGTGTCTCTGCTGGTGAGCACTCTTCTCTCATGTGATTTACAGCCTCTGAAAACCTGGTAGAGGGTCAGATATGAGTCCATTCCATGTCCATGGCAATGACTTTATGACTTTTTAAGTTAAATGAAAAAGCAAGAACAGAACAACCCAGAATGAAAGCCTTAAAGATAACTGGAATCAGACCTGCATTTGCATTTTAGCTCATTGACAACCAACTGTCTACAAACTTCTTAATTTATGTGACCTCATCATGTTTAGTGAGAATGATAACTACTCACTAGGACTTTGTATACTTGGATAATCTGACAACATAGATCCTAATGTGTAGAACTTTTCATAAACTTCTTTTTTATGAATATGATGTGATTGAGAGATTGGAATAAGATTGTGTAATGTTTGCCCTCTGAAAAATGAGGATAATATGTACCGCACAGGCTGATTTTGAGGATTAAGAGCTAGCATTTGGAAAAATATATCATAAATTCCACTGTTAAATAAATCATTGAAAATACAAAATTCAGTTAGTCATTCTGTTTGCAGCCTCATTTCTATCACCTTGCCCCATATTTTCTTCTTTTGTTTTTATAAGGTACTTTCATTTGGTTTTTATTTTTATTTTATTAATTTTAGTGAACATTTACAGAGATTTTGGATTTCTATTCATTCATTCATTGTTGCACTTTTCTCCCTGCCCAGCCCTCCCCCC